GTAGTTTTATTATTTGAAAACAAGATGTTTAAAAAAAATTAGGAAGTATTGGTTATTAATGTTCAACTCAACATTACAAACCAAGTTTTGATGCGCTTATTCAGTGCATAGTACAATAACCAATCTGGTTATTGCCTGCACATGTTTCTGCAATACAAATATCTCTGACTGAACACCAAATGAAAGACACACGATGTGGGATCCACTGCTTTAGTGTTTCCCCAACCTCATTTTCATAATTATTTCTGATGCAAGGTTCACTTGACACCAATGTATCAGATTTTAAGCCAGGGGAAATTAGAAAAAGGGGTATTTTTTTTGTTTGCTGAACTCAGAGCTCCTACCGAAATATTGTGTTCTGTAACTACTTATTTTAGAGAAATGCATCGGCTAGCTGTTCACAGTAACAGGCACAGTAAACTCGTTTCTGCTGAAAAAGGGTGTTGGTTGTTTCCCAAAGGCCACAGTCATTTGTAATCATGTACAATTCACTCCTTCGTGAAGAGTTTTACAGAGATCCATGCTGAGATCGAAACCAAAAGGTGAAAGCTATTCTGGTTAGGTGACTAGCACTGGACAACCTACTGCAAATATGCTCTTTGAATACGTCTGACTGATTCCTACTCTTGGACTCTCAGCCCACAAAACAGCCTGAACTTTTAAAGCAAAGAGTTGCTGGGAATCAGCACTCCCTCACAATACCCCAACTTCTAAAAGGTAGGTACATTCCACCTCTAGAAAACAACACAATTTGCCAACTGTAAGTACTTTGCAATAACTTGCACAAACCTAACTGCTTCCTTGGAGATGCCAGTATAGCCAGTTGGGGATAAAGATGCCTCAGGACAAAACAGCCAACAAGAGGCACTCAATCACAAAGGCGGCCATCCTCAGCACTGCTGTTGATACTACAGGATGAACACGCATCTCGCACGTTAGGAAGAGCTGGGAAATACAGATGTGTTTCAATCAACCCTGTACTTGGCACCAAGGTCGCTGGGGAACTGATCTTTAGTGTAAATATGGCAGTGCTCAAAATCCCCTCAAACACACTAGACGTGCTGTTCAAATGCATTAAACCTTCCACTTCAAGCTGACCAAGCACATTGGGATTCAGGCCCATGACTCGGACGCACCGGTGAAGAACACTGCAGCAACGCCTGAAGGTATTTTCTAAGACTTGTATCATATCAAAACTCCAACAGTGCATCAAATTCTGACAGCTGGGATTAGAAATCACTTGCACTTCCATGCCAAGGTCATCCAGGCCCTGCTTTACAAACTCCACTGCACAGAGCTCTACCACCACCACGGCAACAGATTCTGCCAGGGTATTGAGGCAAACTGATTTCCCAACTATTAGTGAGATCACTTGCATCTACATCCTACAGCTACATTGAACTCAAGCCACAGACCAGCAGCTCTAGAAGGTCCTACCAGAAGAGACAGGAGAATGACAGTTCACCTCTGAAGGTCAACAGCATAAATGACACAAAATGGAGATAGGTGGTGATGGACCAAGGAGGGGTTTTAAGGCAAAACATAGCTGGAATTAGCTTTTCACACTGATCTCCAGGACAGAACGGGATGCTACCAAATACATTCATGACATCCAGGAAACATCAAAAGAAAAATCAGTGCTGAAAAAGTAAGGGGAAAAGGATGTACAAAATACTCCTGAGAACACGATTTCATTATCAACTGAATTTTCCAGTGAAAGCTGGGGGATACGGAGCTGTTCCGTCCAGTATAGGCAAAAGATTTGTTGCTAGATGGGGAAGCCAACGGACCCAAAAATTCTTAGCTTTAGGAGCTACAGCTGGTCTTGCTCTGGAAGTACAGGACCCAAGGGTAGGAATCTAGTCCAAAAAGTATCTTTACAGGTTTTAATATTCTCAAGATTAACTGTTCCCAAAATCTTGGGTAATGTTAGTCGTCATAGGATAAGCACTGTATCTTTCTGCAAATAAGCAAAAAAAGGGAGAAACTGGTAAATAAATTTCAGTGTAATCCTAGCATTCTCATCTCTCACCCCGACATTTGAATGTTAGGCATTTCCTTGCTTTGTGTTTCTTACAAGACTTATTACTAGTTCAAACAAATGCCTTCCTTTGGAATACCCAAAATACATATTGTTACAGTAGTACACAGCAAAATCATCATGTGGCAATTTTTTAAGTACATCTTCCTCTCTCCACCACACGCATAGTTAATGCCAATTTAGAGGCAAAAAAACCCAAACATTCCTTACCCATATTTGTTGCACTTTGTACAAGTATAGATCCAAAGGTGTATAGGCAACAGATTTGCTGAACAAGTGCCTGGACAATATCAGCCTATATCAAAAAGGAGCAAATTTTTACACTCTTAAAAAAAAAAAAAAGAGAGAGAGGTTAGGGATCTGGTAGTGAGGACTGGTAAACCTTGCCAAACAAATCTTTTTAAAAACAAAACCAAAAAATTATGCCAAAAACCATTTCCAAAAAGAGGTTGGGGTGCAGGGCAGTGTCAAAAATTAGACAGGTCAGCTTTTGGTCCAAGACTTTGGAAACCTACATTTAAGCCAGAAATAAAGCTGGTATAGACAGAAGTAAAGCCTAAGTTCAGGTTTAAAATGGAAATGGTGACAAAGCTTTGTAACAGAGTTAGAGCAAAGGAAGGCACCATGACCAAGTTAATTTTAAAGGTCCAAACTTACATTAACAAGTTACAAACATATACACATTTATGCACACACAGTTTATATTGAAATTACATATACACAAGTTAAAGTACCTTGCAAGAGGATGAAAAGGCTTTTAAGCCACCTGCATACGGTCAACTACATTCAGCAGTTTGATGTGGGTAACTTGGTCGGTCCCGTCTCTCCTCAACACCCCTCACCCCCAATAACTTAAATTTCAAAACCCAAGGAAAGGAATTTTAGTAAGTAGCACTCAATGGCTTGGTTTGTCAGACGTTTGAAAAAAGGAACACAATTCTGCACAAGTCTGTGTTTCTACAGAACTGAACTGTGACTCCATTGTATTCCATGCCAAGTCAGCCAGAAGAAAGTCATCCATAGCTGTCTGCGTCTCATTGCTGGTAAGGAATAAGTTCCCAAGAGTCTCAAAGGAGCTATCCATAGTCTGTGTTTCAGCACTATTCAGCTGGACTTTGGATTCTAGGTTTTGACCAGGTATATCTTTAGCAGCAGCAGGTACCTCTGTCTGGGTTTCTGTATCAGAGGAGTCGGTGCTCATGGAAAAGCTGGACTGTTTTAGTATACTTCCCAAAGGCAGATGTGTGCTATTGTCTAAAAAAAAATTTAAGTCCGTTTGTGTCTGTGTATCAAACATCTCCAAGCCTAAGAAGTTAGAATTTCCTCGGCAGCTGTAGGATTGAGTGGCACTATCTGCAAATAAGAAGTCAGTCTGGGTTTCAATATCCAGAGATTCCAAAACTGGCTCAGAATTCAGATTCCCCAGTTCACTCTCCTCAGTCTGAGTTTGGATATTGGATGCTGAAAAGAACTCTTCAATGTCAAAGTCTATCCCTGTGCTCTGTGTTGGGGCTGGTGGCAGGGGTGTGTCAGCGCTAGAACTAGAGTCAGACAAGAGACCACGATTATCCAACGTTTGGCCAGACATGCTACCCGAGAAGATGTTTTCCAGATCATTTAATAAGTCCATCGTCTGGGTTTGATTATCCATCATATTTTGCTGTGGAAGCATGTTAGTCTGCGTATTGAAGTTGATAATGGGTTCAGATTTTATTGCATCCTGACTCAGGCTCTTGCAGCTGCTTCTTTGCAACAAGTTTTGATGTATTGTTGTAGGCATTAGATTGTTTTCCGAGAATCCAATCTGTGTGGAAACATCATACGATGAATGTACATTGTCAAAAATGTCGCTGCACATTACAGCCTGGTCTATATGCACTCTCCCATCAATAGAGTCCTGTGTTCCACTGGTTTGAGTCTCTCTAGAAACACCACAGGACGGGAAACAAGCCTGCTCAAAGGCATCTGTCTGAGCAGCGATGGATGAAGTCAGTTTGGAGGTGGGTAGCAGTGTCTGAGTCTGAACGCTAATTGGTAATGAGACCTGGGAACCAAACGACAGGTCTGTCTGAGAGCAAGACGAGACAGAAGAATCAGAAGTCCAGGCTGCAGCTGGCACAAAGTTCTGCGAAATGTAAGATAAATCTGTCTGCACATTTATTGAAGAGATTTTATTCTTTTGACAGGCATTTCCCAGCTCTTGTCCTGGATTATTTGGTGTTACTTTACCCAAGTTGACTTGGATACCAGCACTAACTGGTTCAACATCACTGGAATTTGCCACCTTTGAAACGGGCACAGCATCGTTAAACACAACCGTTTCTGCCTCCAGTGCTGGAATCAGAATCCCTATGGACTGAGGTAACAAGTGAACAGTGCTCAGAACCGAGCCTTGATTATCCACAGCCACCACAACAGGTTTGACAGAGGAGTCTGCTGCTGACACAAAGATAGGCAAGTGAGCCAGCTGCATTACTGGAAATTTGACCAAAGCCACTTTGGGCTTTGGCAAAAGCATCTTCGGTGTACATTTTGGCTGGGATAGCATCTGCTTATTTATATTAGAACTACAGGAGCCTTCAAAAGAAGCCATGGGTTTCACCTCAGACGTCTCCAGTTCCGGAGTGCCATTACGACTGGCGTGAGCACTGATAAATGCTTCCTTTGCTTTCTCTGCTAAGTGCTGATTTTGTATTGTAGTTTCCATTTTTCTTTTCTTATTAGGCGGATCCCTGTAAACAGGACAGATCAAGAATTGAAAGTACAATGAAGTCCTCCCTCTCGACTTACTCAATAATGGCAACAGAATGATGCTGGGGTGGAGGAATGAGTTCAGGTTACAGGCTGGGACACAGCTGTTCATACCAACTGACAGCTTCATTCTTTGCATTTTAAAGCAGAGAATGAAGAATAAGAACTGCCCTTTCCTTCCCATATAGTTGGCCAATGCTTATTTTAGAAAAAAAAAAAGTGTCAAAATAAAACAACTGATTTAAACAGGTTTACTTCATTTGAGAGGTCAGTTAATGGCAATCCTAATCTTTTAAATTATGGCAACAAAGCTCGCTTTAGAAAATTTTTGGAACAAATAAAGTTGCTGTAGCCTTAGGGAAACTGTGGGCCTGGACTTTCTTACCAAAGCATACAAGAAAGCACAAAGTACCTTGCAGCAGCTCTGTTTGCAAAATAAAGTACCATAGGATTCAGTTAACAGATTTTGTGCATCGGCACTTTGAATTATATGTTCTTTTCAGAAGATATATTCTCTAATGGCAATTTTTAATGAAAAAGGTGGCTAACTAAGAGAGAGCATTTATAGGGCTCTATCAATTTTAAGAGTAAAAATGTAATTAACTCTGCTTATTTCACACTACAGAGCTATATTAACTCAGCACATTCCCAAGCAAGCGCTATTACCATGGGATTGCAAGGACCAATTAATAAGAACCACTAATAATTATGCTAACAAATGAATACCAGTAGGCATCACCAGTGACATGATCTCTGCTGGCAGAGCTTCTAGATGTTAAAGGGTAAAAGTCTACAACTGGTGGCAATGAGCAATCAATTACCCTTGCCTTTAGTGGGGCTAGGATCACAGTTAGCAATGATAGGATCTAGTTGCCAACTGTGTACTCATTAAGGGGAGTTAATTATATGCAAGGAAGAGACTGGTTCAAGTCCCATCCACAGAAAAGCAGGTAGTGTGTAGGAAAATGATGCCTCAGGACTTTGTTGTATCACCATCACCAAGTTTCACCTTTACCTGTGCTCTGCAGGGATCTCATGGCCAGTTCTGTAAATATGAGACAGTAATGCTGTTCTGCTGGCATAAGGGCACCCACAAGTACACTGGAAAGTCTTTCCACAGTCCTCTGCGTGTCGTTTCAAGTCCCATTCTGTGCCATAGCAGTTGCTACATTTATCACATTTGTGCTTCTTTTCAGCATGCATTTTCATAAAGTGCTAAAATATACAATGAGAATTAGAAGTCAGGCTGTCAAGGAATTGTGTAAGAAGTCATGTATTTACAGAACAGACAATATAAGCGCTCACAACACATTTTAGGTAAAATGCAAGCATTGGAGTGGGAAACCTGAGCCTATTTAGAGACTTTAATACTCTACTAGAGATGTATTTAGGCCTTTAATCTTTTGCACTAAAATCTTAAAGATGTTCATGCACTTTTGGGGCCTAACAATGCAGTACTATGCTAGAGACATGACAACTAGAAACTGATGAATGAGTCCAAATTAAGGAAGTGGAAAAAAGCAAACTGAAATAATTTTTAAAAATCACTTTTGATCATCCAAGATGTGATTTGCACAAATAAAGAGTTACTTAAATACACATTTTACACTGTCATCATCTTTCTAAACACTCTGGGAGGAAGTCTTTAGACAGCATCAGAAAGTGAACCTGTTGGAAATCTCACGATTGGTTACTGACATCGTATCAGCAGTTTCCACCGTTTTTACCTATACAGAACCCTTATGGGAACGAATCTCACACTACTGAAATTCATGAGAAGTCTGTCATGGACTTAGCGTACACAGAATCAAGTCCACAATGCTCCTCTTTCAAGGATCTTGGTGTTTGATAAATACTAATCTTCAAATCACCCATCCTGAAGAAGGCATTCCCTCTACAATAGAGAAAAAGCAAAGCTGAGAAGCATGTAGGCCCCACTGACATTCTTAAAACTGCTGCCAGTTAACTTTGGAGCCACTGCTACCGAGTACCGCAGCTCAAAAAGTTCTGAAGCAGGATTCTCAAAATAAGCATTCTCCTCCCTATCTTGCTCGCAGAGTCCCTTTCCTTCAGCACCCAGCCTCAGCCTTTTCCTCTGCATCTCTGAACTAGCAAGTCCTAGTGGATCTCCACTTAGTTGGTTTCTGAGGATCCCCTCCTTAAGGACCTAGCTCATCTGAGACATTGCAGAGTCTAATTTGGGGCTGAGAATTCCACCAAGTGCCAAAGCTTGGTGTACAGCAGACTGCTGTTGAAGACAAGCAACTCATATTGGTGGAGCTATATTGTCAACAGAATATTAATTATTCAGAGAAATGTAGGAATTCAGCACATTTTCTGAACAAGACATAATGATGGCAAGTGTAAAGAAGTCAACTGTGCAAAAGGAGAGTGTTGTTGGAGACAAAAGCTCATTTTAACTTGACCTTAACCCCTTGGAGTGAATAATGCTGACTTTCATTATCACCAGACATTTATGGAAATGTTGCCAGATAAGTTTGCTAAGGGTTTTATAATTAATCCTTCTCCATGCTGTTCACTTTAATGTGTTTTCTGGACATGCCAACATTTGTTTGACACAAAGGGCCAAGCCTCCTAAAGCAGCCATGGAAAAAGTAGTCTGTGTACAAAGTTGGGCGGCTGCCTGCACTGTCTCTAGAACTTATACATATAAAATGGGGCTGTTTTGCACATTTCGGCACAGAAAATACACACACTTTCCATGGACTGTTCTATACTATCTCCATATCTTTTATCCTATTATTTCAAAGAAAAGGAGTTCAGATAAAATACCTGTTTTACAAGTGAAAACTGGGAAAATGGCCTGTTTGGTCCTCTAGGGCAGCCTTCAATAGGACAGCAGTAGAATTTCTGTGTAGTTTTCAAACCCTTTCTTATTGTTGCATTCATTTTTCCATCCTGAAAAGTACAGTTCTATTAAATTTTGTCAAAGACTTTATGCATCTGGGATACTAATACATTATTCAGAACACAGATTAAACTTCATACCACCTCAGTTTATCCATGTTGGTATTCACACTAGAAGGACCTTCTTAAGTTATTTAAAAGACTATTCAGTGTGTTCAACTGTACCACCACAAGTACTAAGTGAATCAAAAGAGATTCCTGGAGCAGTTATATATACACTACTATTTCAATTCTAAATATTAAATTATTTCAGCTATGACACCAAAAACTTCCAGCAAAGTAATTTACATCTGCATTTTAATAAAAATCAAATGGTCTTGACAGCAGTACACCCAAAGCACTGTACATATTCAGTCTTCCAATGCAACATGGCTGCTTTAATTTTCAATATAAGCTTGATTTATATTGAATATTGTATTTTTTTTTTATAATGACCACACTGATATTAGAATCTGATTTTGCTAAAGAAAGCAAAAGTAGTAAAATACTGGATACCACTTCAACAATTTGCTTTGGAAAGAGATTTTTCCAGGGAAAATTAAGCAGACTAATTCCCTTCCTATACCCCAAGGAAGACTCCCTTCCACCTCACCACTATTATTACACGTTATCCAGTTTTCAGTCACGTGCATGTGGGCAATTAGGGTAAACTGCAGGCTACTAGTTAGAAAAGGGATCCTGGGGCAAAATACTCAACTGCAGTGGAACAGGCCTGTGCACACTTTGCACAACTAAAGGAATTTAGTATAGAAAGTCTCCTGTTCCCCCCAGACCTTAGAACAAACTAGGAGCCAAACCAGTCCCCAGCATCAGTTACAGTAGCTTGTCATGATCCTCTTGAGGCTACTACTCTGGCAAGAATTAGTAAGTGATCTGGCTCCACCTTTTGCACAAAGAGCTCTACCTCCCTACCTGTGCCCAGGGTGGAAAGCAACTGATGGAAGATTTTCTATCTTGGCTCTACGCTAAAGAACTCCCCAGATATTCCCTTACGGCAGATTGCCAGCAGCTTTGTTTTGAGCAGTGCCAAGATAGCAGATCTGGCCCATTTTCTTGTATTGTCTCAGTGGGAAAAAGCAGTTACTTGCTTTAAAAACTGTGGCTCCTTACATTCACTGCCTCCATAATATTTTTGCGGTAGTATATGTTATTAGAAACTTTTAGTAAAGTTACTAACTAGCCCACTGGAGCTATTCAAGCTCCTATTTGTGGTGCTGAACATTCATTGTTAAGATTATAAGAGTCAAACGTATCTTCACTGCCGCCCTCCTACTAGAAACCTTGCCTAGAAGAGTGGACAAAGGAGTGACCACAACTACAGAAATAATGGTGTAGCTCCTGCATTGACCATGGGTGGGGAGGAACCATGACACTTCAGTAACAGCGCCATCAGCAAAACCAGTAATATTTGTGGTACCAGTGGACCAGAACAGGAAATTCAAAAGCACCTCAGGGCGATGTTTCATCCTCTTTCAGAATGACATCAAGCACTCCTTTCCTGAAGGGCTCATCGCTACTTTTCTTCCTGTACTTAGGTGATGCTGCTGCTTGCTGTTATGGACCTGCTTGAAACAAGAGATTAAGTCCCGATGCCCTTGTGCTGCAGCACTAAGGAAGTACCTGCACTGGACTGTTGCAAGGTGGCAGCATCTCTGAGCACTGAAAGAGCCCCTAACACTAACACCAGTACACATCTGGATAATGCCAGGTTTCATTAGAAAACACAAATTCCCAATGCAACTAAAGGACCCACAAAACTACAGATCCCCAAGAAGCCAAAGCCTGCCTTAACACTAATAACAAAAGGCCCCTACAGAATTAGACTCCAAAGCCAAAGAATCTTCTCTCTCTGGCACAAATTTCTTCATTGCAAGGATGGGACTGGACTTACTTGGATGTAAAGCCCTCTCTCACTGGGCAGACGGCTAAGATGTCATCATCTTGCTCCTACCATCTGCCTCTCCCAGCACTGCCCCCTGCAACTCTCCTGTGCTTTCTGTATTCTAATTTCTCTTTCTTTCTTATACACTGCTTGTTGCATGTCCTTTTGCAGCATCTGATGAAATGAGTTTCAGCTCATGAAAGCTTGTGCTATATACACACAATATTTATTCAAATCCAAGATGATATTCTCCCTATCTAGTACGAGGAAAAAAGCCCTTTGTCTTGGATTCAAGTCCCAGGCCAAAGCTGCCACTGCTGCATGACCAGAGCTCACATGCTCTGTGCCAGGAGTGGACAAATGGAGCCAGAGGGGTACCTGACAAAGAGCAACAGGGGAGCAGGCAGAGGCACAGCCTGGAGGTTGGGGGCGTGCAGGAGGAAAGAGGGAAGAAGGTGGCAGCAAGTCCAGGCACTACTGGAGGAGGCAGGGAGGGGCAAAATTTATGAAGACCCTACAATCATTAGATTGTATACATGGAAAATTAGAACAAACATAATTTTTCTATATTTAGGATCTAAGTACTGGGGGGGGGGCATCTTAAATTTGAAGTCATCTTGGATTAGGGTAAATACAATATATCTACTTTCATTAGTCTATAAAGGCACAAATCTACTGTGCCATCTATCCGACTTCAGATTAACACTGCTAACATCTCTCATCACATCAGGAACTCAGACAGGTAAAGCCTCCTTGGCAATGAAACAGTACTCTGCTGTTTTGTGCATCTAACCTCCCCACCTTAACCTAAAGCTTTTATTGCTAAGCAGCAATCTAAACAACAGAATTGGTGCCACAGGAAGAACAAACAGCTGCCATACCATGAAGGGACAATCACAAGTTCCTAAGATGTACCATGATGAAAAGAAAAGGATCTTGGTGTCATTACTGATTCCAAAATGAACATGGGCTGCCAATGTGGGGACATGGTCAGGAAGGCCAACCACATCTTATCATGCATCCGCAGATGCATCATGAGCAGGTCCAAGGAAGTGATCCTCCCCCTCTGTGCGGCACTGGTCAGGCTGCAGCTGGAGTACTGCATCCAGTTCTGGGCGCCGCACTTCAGGAGGGATGTACACAGCATCAAGATGGTTCAGAGGAGGCCACTCGCATGATCAGGGGGCAGCAGGGTAGGCCCTATGACGAGAGGCTACGGGACCTGAACCTGTTCAGCCACAAAAGCAGGCTGAGGGGGGTTCTGGTGGCCATCTATGAACTGGCCAAGGGGGACCAGCAGGCTATGGGAGAGTCCCTGTTCCCCCGAGCACTACTGGGAGTACCAAGGAATAACGGCCATAAATTGACCGAGAGTAGATTCAGGCTAGGTATCAGGAGGTACTACTTCAGTCAGGGTGGCTAGGATTTGGAACCAACTTCCAAGGGAAGTGGTGCTCGCTCCTACCCTGGGGGTCTTCAAAAGGAGGCTAGATAATCACCTAGCTGGGTTCGTTTGACCCCAGCACTCTTTCCTGCCCATGGCAGTTGGACTTGATGATCTGCTCAGGTCCCTTCTGACCCTACCTACTATGAAACTACTTTTTCTAATCAAAGCCCTGGATATGACATTTGCTGTGACCAAAGTTGTGGATCTAAACCCCAGAAACTACTCTATGCACCAAGTCAGAGATTAATGGACTGAGATAGATGTTATAAAAGCATTGTGCTGTCTCATCTGTTCCAAACGCTGGGCGAAGCAAAAGGACATTCATCTGCTCCAGCATCGCTTTCCACAACATGCCTGACAGACAGCAGCAAGAGTAGAAATCCCACGAGTGAAGCCAGCAAAGGTCAGCTTCCACGGGTCATTTTTATAAAAAATCCCCATCAAACAAAGCAGCTGCCAAACCAAGATAACTTGTGTCTTCATTTAATGTATCAATTCTATAAAATGAGTTCCTCTGTCCACACATTCAAGCTTGGTTGCCAATTAGTTTCACAAAGTATTTTATTAATGTTGCTATGCCCCTACAAAGATGTTTGACTACCTCACCTCCCAAAAATGCAAACAAACCTTTGCAAATGGAATATTTTTAACAACACTTTGTGGAGCTTTTACTTCTCCCTCTTTTCCTCCAAGGACTAAGATTCTTGCCATTCAGTCCTTCAAACCCCCAAAGTACACACCTGCAAGTGAACTTGACCTACTGGCTTCAGATCTGAAGCACGTCTCCTGGACCTGCAGATCCAGCATCTTTACCAATAGCAACAAACAAACAAAAACCCTTTACAGTAACTGCTATGCAAGGGTTTCATGAGCTCGATGACATGTTACAGCGTCTCTGCCCAGAAGAAAAACCCCAAAAGGATAAAGATACAAAAGGAGTTTGAGATACCTAATCGCTCCCACTCATTTTTCAGTGCTTATATCCGTTACAGCTATTAACAATAGCAGCAGATCATCTGACGGATTACATATTTTGTGCCTTCCCCACCTAGGTGAAAGTATCACCTGTAAACTCCACGAGGAGTAAACCAGAGCCGTTTCGCCTTTTAAAGCTCATTCTCTCGAAACACCTCGACCTCCCAACATCAACTAGGTAACTGCCAAATCTTTAAAAGGCAGAAACAGATTGTATTTTCAGCACTAAAATCTGCACCTGCATCGACACGGTTGTGTTCTTCACCGAAAACAATACAAGATGGAAAACATCGCTCCAGTCGGTCAACATGTAAGGTCTCTCTGCCGGATGAACTCCAAACGCGAAATAACGGCATCGCGGTGCTCCAGCGTGCTCTCAGCAACCGCGGCACGTGCAAGAGCACTCCCACGAACATGCCCGGGGGGCTCGTCCCTGACAAAACCTGCTGTTATCGCAGCTGGCCACGTTTCCCGACCGTGCGCCGATGTATAGCGCACACCGTTGCCTCTGCTCCTTCTCTGGGCTGGGCGGATTGATGCTTGCGAGTAACAACCGCCTGTGCCCGTCAGTCTCTGGAGATCCTTAATTTCTATGAAAGGAAACAGAATATGCCCAATCCCAGGGGCGGGGGGAGGAATACCACAAATTACGCCCCCCTCCTTGAGCTACTACTCTGCTTTCTGCTCCCCTTCCCTAATCAACCCCGTCAGGGCCAAAATGGATCCCGCCCCTTTCTGTGGGTTATGGAACCCCCCCCCCGCGCTGAGGTGCGGGCGGCGCCGCGGTACCTGGAGGCGGTGCGCCTTGCTGAGATGCATGCTGAGGGCCGGACTGTTGGGCAGCACCTTGGCGCAGCCGGGCACGGTGCACAGGATGTTGGTCCGCGCGGCGCGGGACAGCTCGCTCACCGACGGCCGCACCAGCTCGCGGCCCGGCGCCGGCGGCGGCTCCTCAGTGCGGCCCG